GTCTTTGAAAAATCTGGTCTGGCATCAAATACTGTTGATACCAGCTAGTTGATGGGCAGAGGATAACTACTGAGGAGTATCCCACGTGGGAAATTCTGCATGGTGCAGAACAGACCCTGGTCCCTTCATCTGTTACGTGGCATTGGGCTGGTACCTACACAGAGTTTTTTTTTAATAAGGAGTACGTAAATGTCATTGGGTTATAAAGTAAAAGTTCAAGAGATTTATTTCCCTCAGTGAATGGTCTTCCAGATGTCAGGGTACATGAATAAAGATATGAGAAGACAGATGTTGGGCTGTGTGAAGGGTGGAAAATTTTGAAGTGCCTGAACAGTGGTCATTATTCAGCATTATTAATTCAATACTTGAAGAGTTTTGGAGGATTTAATGAGCAGTAATTGTAACCATGTTCCTAAGTGCCTAAGTGAGAGGAGTCATGGTAGGTTAGGAGAAATAATATGGTAAAAGTAATTAAACTAATTTGGTTTGTCGCATCTGGACTACAAAAGGCATGGTTTTGGAGGGCTCTTAGAAATAGATGTTGCATTAATAGAAGGTTGAAAAATGACTATTCCCATTTGGAGCATTTACTCATCCCTTCAACTTTGTAATTAACTCCCCCAAATAATAGAAAATACTCATTTTCTACAGAGAACTGTCTAGAAATACTTTTTCATGCTCCAGGGTCCTGCTTGATCTATGTAAATGGCTGTTGTGGTGTACTGTTCACTGTCTATGTATTGCTGTACAAAGCTGCAGAATAGTATCAGAATTTCTCTGTTTTGAGATATTTTTGTCAGGTTTCAGGACGAAACAATAGAGCTCTCAAAGGCACATGCAAAACTAGAGGGTCAGCAAATGTTCAGAGCTTCAGGCATCTATTTTTAAATTGATAGGTTCTTTAAAACTTCATAGATTCAGAATATTGAACTAACAGGATTTTATCTTCCAGTTTTCCTTTTCTCCTCCTTGTAATTGCCACATGTTTTTAGTCTCTTACTGCAGCTCTTCTTGCTTCCAATTTCCCAAAACTGTCTACTGTTTTGAATTCTCTACTCCTGTGTTTCCACCACCTCAGGCAAAACTCACACAGCCTGCATTTGCTCCTTAAAGCTGAACAAGACTTTTGAGAGTCTGGGTGCATGAGGAGTCAAAATGTGCCCATACTTGAAGCCCAAGAGTTTCTTAAACACTTAAACTCAAGTGTTCGCACAGAGACAGAAGTGTCTGAGTCAGAATGATTGAGTGTTCGATTTCAATTCCACTGCAATTCAGTCTTGAAATGTAGATAGATAGATAGATAGATAGATAGATAGATAGATAGATAGATGTACTGTCATTAAGTTCTTCCAGTTTTGTCCACCTCCTCACACACTGCTCTCTGGGTTGCCCTGCTGAGGCCCAGCTCCTCTCTGTTGGGTGCACTGAGGAGTTCAGCCGTGAGTGCTCAAGCTCTCATCAGGCAAAGCTGGTGTAGGATAGCTGACAGCAACTTCTCAGCTTGTAGGAGTTCTGCTCCTGCTGGTCCTTTGTCCATCATTTGAACTCTTGGGTCTTCTGGTTTTAACAAACTCAGTGGTTAGTCTTCATGTCTGGGATCATAACAAACAGAAGGTTAAGAGTTAGTATATGAAGAATTTTTTTTTCTAACACTCAAGCATGCACAGATAATGTAGCTGTTTAAGAGAAAAGTAGTAGTACTATTCTTTCCCTAAAAATTAGACTTTTGTAAAATGTTGATTAACCTTAATGAACAATTGTCTCTTTCACAGTTGTCTTGACAGTGGCCTTTTTAAGGTGCATGTGAGTGAATGTTTTCTTACACTAAATGTATATATTTAATTGAAAACAATGAGAGGTCCTCTTAGGTTGAGCTTGTAAGAGTGATTCTCCTTCATTGGAGTAAATACCTTGCAAGGAATGTCGTCAGTCCTGTCTCTTTCACATAGCTGAGGGCAGGGTAGGCAGGACTCACTGAGGAGGGATGCTGGAAGCAACATGTGGGAACTCCAGCTGGGTGATCTACCCTCACATCTTTCTGTCAGCTGACTTTAGTTTCTTACCCGAAATGATACTATTTTAATGGATGAACTAAAAACCTGTTTCTGGTATTTCTCATGCAAACCATCCATTTTTGCATTGGGTTCTCTGTTTTTTGCTGAGGGTAGGAAGATCTAGAATTCTGTGCACCAAGGGAAAGGATTTAATGAATATCTTCAATATTCTTGTTAGTGATCTGGACAAGGGGATCAAGTACACCCTTAGTAAGTTTGCAGATGACACCAAGTTTGGGAGTGTTGATCTGCTGGAGGGTAGGAAGGCTCTGCAGAGGGATCTGGACAGGCTGGATTCATGGGCCGAGGCCAGTTGTGTGAGGTTCAAAAAGGCTGTGTGCTGGATCCTGCACATGGGTCACAACCCCAGTCAGCACTACAGGGTGGGGCAAGAGAGGCTGGAAAGCTGCCCAGCAGAAAAGGATCTGGGGATGCCAATCAACAGTGGCTGAACATGAGCCAGTGTGTGCCCAGGTGGCCAAGAGGGCCAGTGGCATCCCAGCTTGTATCAGCAAGGGTGTGTCCAGCAGAGCCAGGGCAGTGATTGTGCCCCTGCACTTGGTACTGGTGAGACCACACCTTGAATCCTGAGTTTAATTTTGTCCTTCTCACTAAAAGAAGGACATGGAGCTGCTGGAGTGTGTCCAGAGAAGGACAGTAGAGCTGGTGAAGGGTGTGGGCGCAAGTCTTAAGAGGAATGACTGAGAGAAGTGGGGTTTCTCAGCCTGGAGAAAGAGAGAATCAGGGGAACGTTTTTGCTTTCTACAAATAGCTGAAAGGTAGTTGTTGCAAGGTGTGGGTCAGTCTCTTCTCCCAGATAATAAATGGCAGGACAAAAGGAAATGGCCTCCAGTTACACGAAGGTTGCACCAAGGTAGGTTTAGATGGGATGTTAGGAAAAAATTCCTCACCCTGGTTGTCCAGTGAAGTAGTTGAGTCTCCATCCCTGAAGATGTTTAGAATTTCAGATGCTTGTAAGGAATAATCCAGAGCCTAAGAAATATCCATGTCCAAAAGTGTCTGTGGTCAAAAAAGCCAACTGAGGTAGTATCTAGTGAACAAGAGAGTTTAAAAGTGTGTTGAGGGGTGGGCAGGGCAAGTGCTGCACTTGGAAAAAAATGGGGTGGGACAGGAGCGTTGGAATCAACCTGCCAAGTTGGATGGGGGTACTGCTATATTTGTACAGTGCTCTGCACCAACTGTTTGTGGCAAGAATATCTATGTAAGACAGTTTGGTGGCAAATTTGAGCACATTTTGTAGCACTGTGTCATTGGCAAGAGTGTGCATCCCACCATCTGCCGTGTAGCTTGTGCCTGCCTGTCCAGCTCACAGCAGCTGCTGGATTTAAGATGCCCAACACTGTGGCCACCTGGTGGCAATTAATACTATTTGATGCTCTGTGCTTGGTTGGAGAGTACAAAATTATCTAGGCTGAGCTGCTGCTGGTGCAACTACAGGTTGTGGTCAGAGCCCTGATTGCTGGGTTCTCCTCACAGAAACTGTTTCCCACCCTCATCTGACATCAAAACTGCAGCACAGCCCAGATGGTGCACAGAAGGTACCAACCCAAGGAGCTCAAATGTTGCTGACAACCTTGCTGACATGTCATGCTGATGTCTGTACAGCACTCAGTTTCCTTACAGAGGCCATTTCAGCTGGATTTTTCAGGGCTGTTTGAACTTTGTGATGATACTCTTACTTGGGAATTTTCTTTTGAAACCAAGGGCTCTCTGCAAAGCATTTATTGACTTTTGAAGAGACGCAAGGAGGGAGGTTCTGCCTATGAAAAGGCAAGTGTTGCGTCACTGGTTCATGTAATTGAAATAGTTCCTTGCAAGCTGCTCATGATTCATATGAGATAATAAATAACTGTAGAATGATTGTGCCTAACAAAGAAAGTAGTTGTTGCAGAGATGCTCTTTTGTTGTCCAGGTTGTGATTAGCTGGTCAGAGGGGAAGTAAAATTTTAGACACACAAAAGGAAGATAAATACGGACCTTACACAGTTTCCTTTCCTCGGTTTTGGTTAATGCTGAACTATGGGATTGAGGTAACTGCCAAGAGCATTTCTATAGACACTGAAGGTGAGTGATAGAAGTCACAAAGAAGTATAGCCTAAAAACATGGCCAAAATGGGATTTTAAACAGTTTGGTTGTATTAGTCTTCTCCTCTGACATGATACAACATCATTCTTTCCTTTAAATATAAAGCAAGCTGGTGTGTTTTCCAAAAAATCTGCATTAGCCCGAGTCTGATCTCACTAAAGTAAATGGGTATTTATGAACAGTGTTATGCAAGTCCCATGGCTAAGTACATTTAAAAATTGTACACTTCCTAGTAACATCTTACACAAAATTATTTTTACTGAAAGTAAGTGCAGTAAATAAAGAGGAGGTTTTGCAGACTGAATTCTTATGTTTTATTGGGAAATTGTAGTTGATTTTTACCAGCTTACTAAGAAATGTCTCAGAATGCTGTTTAAACAAATAATCAGAAACCTTCATAAACATCATAAAATAATGGGAAGTCTGTGTCAGCCCATGGTAAATTGCAGAAATATCAGGTAATCTGGTCATTTGGGAAGAAAGTGTAGCCAGACAAGATGAGAGTTGCAAACTTGTATGGTGATGATGCGAATAATTACACAGCCCTCTGTCCTGATGTAAATCCTTGCATCACCCCTGTAAGGTAGGATCTATATTATTGCCTTAATCCTATTGATTTTCTTAGTCATGTGAATGCCACGGGAATGATAAATCTCAAGGCTCTCTTCCTTATATTCAGCAGATCCAGTACCTCATAATTGTGTAATTTGGCCTAAAGCAACCCCTAGGCAGTGTTTGTTCATGGGAAGCGTGCAGAGGGGATTGTGGGGATTAATAGCAACAAGGGGAAAGTCATAACCTGTTTTTCCCCCTTCCCCTCTTTCTTTTGTTTCTTCCAGGAGAAAAACCCTACAAATGTACCTGGGAAGGCTGCACCTGGAAGTTCGCTCGATCCGATGAACTGACAAGGCATTACCGCAAGCACACGGGAGTGAAGCCATTCAAGTGTGCAGACTGTGACCGCAGCTTCTCCCGCTCGGATCACTTGGCGCTCCACCGCCGCAGGCACATGCTGGTTTGAGAAATGCTACCTGTTCCAGCCGAGTTTAAGAGCTGGGTCTCTTAACTACCCACAGTGAATTCAGCAGGGCTGAATCTCCCTCTACAGTGTTAACAGGCAGGGCTGTCCCTGATGTCTGTAACAAAAAATAATAACAGAAATTCAAAAAAAGCAGGAAAAGAAGTGCCACTCTTCTCCTCGCCATCTGAAGTTAACCCTGTCTGCCCCTCAGCATGGCTACCCCCTGAAAGTGTCATCAGAATCACCTGGGAAATAGCAGCCGAGATGCTACAGGAATGGGCATTATTTTACATGCTGCATCCTTTGACAAAAAGTGTTTATAGCTTGTATGTTTTCTCAGCTGCCAGACATTTTGTTCCTGAAAAATCACTGCTGGTTGGAGTATAGATACCACGAACTGATGATGATGATAGTGATGATGATGATGATGTTGAGAGCAAGACTGCTAGATCTGTATTATGCCATCTTTTCCCCTTGCTTTCAATACCATCTGGCTGGTGTCAGCACTGCACCGGAGCTGTGCTGCAGACAAGCTGCATGTGAGTAGGCAAGAAGATCCTGCTGGAGAGGTCCCGCTGCCGGAGCTGGAGGTTTGCTTGATCAAACTTTTGCAATAATGATGGTGGCATTTTAATATCATACCACAACTTGTCATTATGCTGTAGAGGACACGAGCCATTTAACTTTTTTCTGTTATTTTTTTTTCCTTCTTTTCTTTTGTCTTTGTCATTGTTGAAGTCTGTAAAATAAGCAAAGGGCAGCAGTATCTCTGCTGAAATACCATATTAAGTATCTGCGTTTTACCATGGAATTAATTAGATCCATTTTCTAATTTGTATAGAAAGAGCACACCTAAAAACTACTACCCTATTCTCAGTGGGCTGTTTTCTTTCATGCAGGTATCCTCTTCCCCACAACCATTATTTGAACCCAAGGAAATAGTCAGATCTTGTACTTGCTGGTACCAAGGTTAGTGGTATAGCCATTCATGAGATGGAACTGAATGTATCATCAAAACATAACAGAGAAGAAACGGCTGCATCTCTTGCAGAGAAAAAGCAATAATGAATAAAATGGCTCTTGAGACAATAATTTACTCCACACCAACAGAAGTGGGGGTATGCAGAAACAGCATGTAGGATTTAAGCATTTAAATTAATCTTTTTGCTGGTTTCACTGACCTGCTAGGCACCACAATTAAGTACTTTGATTTCCTTTAACATAATACTTGTGGAAAGCAGGAAAGATAAAGGAAAGAGTTGATTGTTGAGGAGGTAGTGGATGAACTGTAAGTAGGACAGAGAAATACGCAGTTGTGCTCTGCAAGACATTAGATTTCTCCCTGGGAGTTAGGGAATAACAAGACTTTGCCAGCTGTATATTATGACATAAATGGACCTCTGTATGCGTACCAGTGGCTGCCTCTGCTTGGATTCTCAATCCAAGCCTTTTCAGATTAAATAAAAGGAAATTCTTGATCATTCCCATACAGCCCTGTAATTGCAAACCGATTTGTATTAATTGAATTATGTAGGAAAGAGAGAAACTTAGTCATCCGTTATTCATGCAAACAGAATAGTGTTTTTCTGGTTTCTTTCCTCACAAGGATCTGCCTATTCAGCTAAATTTGACAAAGGGGAGGCTTGGCAATATTTTCTAAGTGTTGAGATTTTCATAGCTTAGAGATGAAAGATGTAAACATAAGGTCTTTTGCAATGCATTTAATTATGAATATTTTGTTGCAAGAATTCCAGATTAAATTTGTGATGCCACTTGTTTGTTTTTAAATGTTTAACCATCTCAGTTAATATCAGATTCCTGAAGTAAATGTAGTAATGTTGGGGAGATTTTGGAATCAAGATAATCTTTAACAAAAAACAACATAGAGTACCCATACACAGATACAAAAGCAATTGCAGTTAATTGAGGATTAATATGATGGGGATTATACTTTGTAACAGCATTCACAAGACCTCCAGAGTTTGGTTGTCTTTAAATATCCTTAATGTTCCCCAGTATATATAGTTTACCACCTCTCTGAAAGAATTTACAAAAAGTTCAGGCTTCACACTGGCAAGTGGTGAGCAGAGAAACTCAACACAAATTATTCACAGCTGTTGAGGGAAAAATGCCTCTATCAATTCCCATTGACCATGTTGGTGATCTACTTCCACCAGCTTTGACAACATTCTAGAATCCATCCCCAAATCAGAGACAGAGCAGGGCTTCTGGATAGACCATGAGGCATTGCAGGACAGCAGAACTGTGTCTTTATGAGCAGCATTACTACCGCTGATTTTAAAAGCTGATTGTCAAAGTATTGTATGTGAGGTTTTTCATGGATTATGTCTGAGGTCTGGTTTTTGTGTACTTCAATATCATCCCCTTAAATGCATCTGTCATTGTTGGCATTTAGGGAAAGAAGTCAGGTCAGGTAGAACTCCATTGATACAATACTTTTCTTGCCCAAGAATATTTTACCAACTAATTATTTGAATAGCAGTATGGCATACTGAATGGCAGTATGCCATTGAACGGCATACAGAATTACTTTTGGGATCTGTGGTTTGTTTGGGTTTTTGTTTTCCCTCATAGAAAATTAAGTTTGCTTGAGCAGAAACTCCTATTGGGCATTCTGTTAGCATAGAGGAGGATGTGACGTTACTCTCAAACATTGGTTGCAGGGTGCAACTGGGAGAGATCAGTGTTCCTCTTTAGGCTTCCCCTGTTGTCAGTGAAGACAGAGAAACTACAAGAGAAAGGGAGAGGCCTTTAATTTTAGTGTTCAGCTTTGAAATGCCCTGTGGAAGAACATATGTATAACAGACCCTGGAGAGGCTTGTCTCCCTAGGCTGATGTTGTTCTGTGTGAATCCCTGGTTTTTCAGCTGGTTGCCTGTTACTATCATGAATTGGAAGCACTGCAACAGAAAAGGGTCTGGTTTTATTCAAAGACCCCCAAAGTGATAGAGGGTTAAAGCAGCAGTAATGCCAAGGGACAAGGCACAGAGTGTGACAATGGTAGGAGAATGAAGCCAAAAGGTAAAGGAATGTCTACATTTTGTTATTTCACAGGCAGGAGGTGCATCCTCAGCCTTTCCAGCACATGTGCAAGGGCTTCTCATGCTGCTGTTACCTGTAGATGAATCGCACAACTGCAATTCTGGGTTTCAAGTACACAGTATTGTTCTTTATGAGGTTCTCATTCATACCAACACCTTCAGGCTTTGATCCCAGTTACTCCATGGGGTTGTTTTCTGGGTTTTATCCCCTTCAGAACTATTTTAAGAGAAGTTACTCAGTAGGATGGGGGTGTTTAAATGTGGAGCTGATGTCCCGCAGATCCTCAATGTGTCTTTGCCTTTATTGGCTGTGGGTCAGACCTGCCAAGTTTCTGTGCTCGTGCAAAGGCCATGGGCAATTGCTCCAGGGTAGTTTCTTCAAAAATCCTGGTACCCCACCACAGGTCTGTGACATTTCATGGCTGTGGCGAAGGCTTACGTCATGTGTAGCATGCAGAAATACCAGATCTCATCCTGACACGATGAGTAGGGCCATTTTAATTGAGCAGTTGGTATACACAAACATACAGTGTCCCATTCCTTCAGAAAGACAAGAGATTTCAGTCTACCATGCCGTGGCACTGTATGTTACAGCTTGCAAGGGAAATTATGCCATGAAGTGTCAGATTTCATATATTTTAAAAAGTTCTAAATGGATTTGTCAGGAAATCTCAGGAGCCAGCATTTTAGGAAAATGTAATGAGCAAACAGCTTTTATACTAAACTTTTAAAATGTTTAATTGTGTCATTATGTTTTGAGCACCCCTTATATTCAGCACTGTAAAATTGGCTCATTGCAATGGCAGTTTTTACCTGGGGATGAAGATGCACTATCCCTTATTCTCTCTCATGCTTACATAATTAATTAAATAGGCTTAGATTGACTTGTATATATGATTATTTGCTGGAGTAATGTATAACAAAATTAACAATGTTGAAAATTACATCAGTGATGTTGATGTTTGGGTAAACTTGCAGTGCAGAGCATGGACAAATAGCTGTACAGCCATTCTCCCCTTTAATAATGAGAATAACAGTGATAAGTCTCGTTTTCCATTAGCCACATTGAAAATGTATTCTAGTTGCCATTTATAAATTTAAATTCTGATAATAAATGCTGTTTAACGTGAAAAAATATCTTTCCCCTTTATTGAAAGTGGGTACCTCAAAATCAGGGTAGGTGTGACTAACAATATCCCACTTACATTTTAGTTTGAATTTGAGTTTGGAAAGGTCACTGTGTGAAACTGTGTCTTCCACAGCAGTCAAGTCTTAAGATCGTTCAGTAAATCCATGCTACTCCCACATGCTCATCCTTACGCTCATGCATATGAACCCCAGCACTTCCAAGTGTCTCTACCCATGTACAGGTAATAAAAAAGTTTATTTAAAATTAAAATTTAGGGAAAAAAAACCCCCAAAAAAGATCAGAAAAGGAAGAATTTTAAGTAAACACTGTTACAGAAAATACTACCTTAAGAAACCAGCTCATGTTATTGTGTTATGGCTTTGCCTGTGATACGTGACTGGAGAATTGCACAAAGAAATTGTTGTATTTTCACAGTTCTGCTACAGCATAGCAGTTGCTATGTAATGTATGCTTATGAAGTCATGCCCACTGGAACATTGAAAAGGCTTAAATTCTCCACAATAAATCAGATCTTGGCATAAAAATGTAACTGTAAGGATACTGCATCTTTATAAATCAAAGTAACTTGAAAGTATTTTACTATACTTGTAACAGTTAAAATGTGATACATGTGATAATGGAAAAGTATTTTCAAACTCACAGTTTTACGTGGGGTGTTAAATAGCTGAAATTAAATACATTTTTAAACAATCCTTACCTTCAGTTTTCATTGGGAAGACTGTTAGGATAATGCCTTGCAAAGCTTAAACACAAAACCCAAGTAAATTGTTCTGTTTTATCAGAGCGTGTTTTCTCTGCAAAATGGAGTGGCCACTTCTTTACTGTTTTGCAGATGGTGTGTGATACAGCAAAGTTATACTGAGTCCTTCCATGTCAAATAAGTCAACACTCAATGTCTTTGACTGAATAAAGAAAAAAAAACACTTAAACAAAATGAAAACCATATGAAAGGTTTGTCGGTTTGTGATTTCTTGTTTTCCTTCTGGCATTTTACAATGAACTGCAGATACAGGAATGGCAAACACTCATGATTTTATTTCTTCTTGCATTTCCCCAGCTACAGTGCATCCTGATTAAAGGTTGCAGAGTTGAAATAGGCAGCTGCTTTTTGCTGATTCCAGGGGAGTTTAGTCTTCTAGGTGCAGTAACATGTCAAGAATATCCATTGTAGCAGGACAGTTCTGACATTTAAAATACACATACACTTCAGTGAGATAACCTGAAATCTATTTTAGAGGTGAAACAGAAACTGAAAGTGCCTGTAATTAGAACTGATGGGATGTTCCTATACTTTTACACAGCAATAACTTGATGGGATTCTGTTAACAATAAGGTGAAAATGAAATTTTACTTGGAGAACAATAATGCAGCACAGAAACAAACACAAAGTGCCATTTGTATGTTCACATGTTGAGATACTGTGTTAGAGTTTTTAGTTATTTTCTCAGATAACATCTGTCATATATTTGTAAGAAGAAAATAAATCTTAGTTTACAAATTACTCGTAGCTGTACCGATTCTCAGTAGGTGTGATTGGAAGTCGTTGTCAGAGCAGTGTTTTAGGGGATTTCTTCCCAATTTATGTTGGATATGCCCGTGTATCCAGGGTATTCTCTAGTGAAGTAATCCAAAACCAGCAATAAGCCCAATGGAGCTTTTTTTTTAGGGAATATGATAGAACAGGTATTCTCTTGAAAAATCCTCTGCATTGAACTCTGGAAACACGAGAGTTCACCTTATGTCTCCTTTCTCTTCATCATGTAATGCTCATAGTATTTAATATCATCTTGGTTGACTTCATGAGTGGACAAAATATATCACTTATCTTTCTTTTGGGGACAAATGAGTGAAAAGTTGGGGTCTGTCACTCTAGAGACTCTTTGAATACAAACAAGAAGTTGATATTCCTAAGATGAAGTATGGAGATTTTTATATTGAGTGGCCTAAATATTTGCATCAGTAGACTAATTGATCTTACCAGAAAATGGCCAGCTGTAACTCTTGCACTCTTATTTTTCCTGAGTTTTTTCGTAAATATTAACTACTGCTAATGGATTCTTAAAATAGCAGTGTAATGCCAGCCCTCATGCTTCTTCTATTTTTAAAAATAAATTTATCAGAAATCAAAATGCAACTGGTTGTCCTGATGCCTTTGGCAAAGAAAATTGCTTTCCATCCTCTGAAATTGTACCTGTCATTTATCCAGGCAAAATTTTGTATTTGAGAAATCCTGAATTTTGTTTAGACTTCTGCTGCCATCAGTGGGTTGCTGCTGGAGTCTTACTGAGGCTCATACACGGATGAAAGTGCAAGTCCAAAAACAACATCTCTCCCCAAAAAAGTGCATGTGGACACACGTGTAACAATTAGGTATTCATGTATATGAGTTGATTACGTGACAAGGTTACTTGTTCAATAACAAATTTAAGTGTTAACCACTGGCAGACATAATCCCATCAGAACATGCATATACTTACTGTTGTCCTGAGCTTATCCCCAGATATTAAGCACACAAAAGAATACAACTCATGCTAGGGATTTCAGGAGAGCACCAGGGAATGTGTTGTCAGAAGTACAAAGGAATCTAGTTTTTTATCCAGTACCTGAGCCCTTCTTGGAAAGGAGTGTTCAGTTCTTTGTTCTGGAGCAACAACACTGTGAGGGGGCACCCTAGGAAAGCTGCCATGTTGGAAGGGTTGGCTGATTCCAGCCCTGCATGTGTGTTAGTTCTTCAGTAGGAAAGGGCACTTTGTCTTCACCATCCCAAAATTAGATCGGTTTTTTCCTCTTCATTCTGAAAAGCAAACAGTAAGGGTTCTTTTTTTTTTTTTTTTTTTTTTTTTTTTTTTTTTCTGTTTTGTTTTTTAGTCTGTTTTGTTCTGATTTTACTTTTTGGTTTTTTTGTTTGTTTTATTTGGGTTTGGGGTTTGTGTTTTGGTTTTTGTTTTTGTTTGTTTGTTTGTTTGTTTTTTGTTTGCCAGCATTATTCTGTAGAAGCTCATGCTCACTGACTGAGTTATGAAATAATTACCATTGTGGTAACTTTCACATTATTCAATACAGAGTTTTTCAGTCCTCCAGAGAAACAAAACTGGGAATCTGAATTTTAGCTATTACAGAAATAAGAATACAAAAAATTACTTTAGATCCTATTGTCCATATGAATGAACTGCAACATCTTTCCCAGTTCAGAGTCAGAGTTTGAGTGAGTCCCAAGGTGCTCTCAGTTACAAAAGAAGAGGTGGGTCGCACATTGGCTCGCTAAACCTTGCTCTGTGCTGTGACCTCAGCATATAAAAACAGTAATTCAGTGTCTGATACGGGATCACAGGCGATGGCTTTGATGGATTGTCATAAGCATGAACCATGATATACACAAATAGGTTCGGATACCACTTTTCTCCTTCTACCTGCCTTTCTAGGTATAAAAGAGCTTTGGAAAGACAGCTTGAGCCAAATCTTCATGGTTGAACTAACATTTTTCATGATTCAGAGTTGTTGTCATTTCTGGTTTCAGACTCTTTCACTGCTACGTTTCCATGTTAAAAAATCTGCATGGTTTATTTCTTTCCTGATTGTCCTATACATGGCTTCCTTGGTAATGTAAATTCTTTACTGAACACCCACACAATATGCTCACTTGACTTTCTGTCTGTCCTTACAAAGCTGTATTTCCCATTTGCACATTTGTAGAATATACACAGAAATAGTGATGAATTACTTAAGTTTCATGCACCATCAGCCTTAAGACCTTCAACCCACACACAGGCACATGCATTTCATACACATCGAGGGAGAGAGAGATTTGGACACCGCTATCAACATGTGGGGTCAAAAATACCATTAAATCAGAAAGTTCTTTCAGCTGTGTTCAGGAAAAAACAACAATACTGAAAAATATAATTCTTGGCCAAGTTACTTATGGACGAAGCAAATTCCCCCATGGTGTTATTTGAATGAAAACCTAAGGATGGGATTGTATTTGGCCCCAAATTGTTCCTTCTAATCAGGTCATTAGTGTTGTATGTACCAATGAGTGTTCATTTGATCCTCCTGTGTAAAAATACAAAAACATCCCGTAGTTTACCAAGCGATTCATTTGGGACTGAGGCTTCACAGCAATGGAATTAGTATGTACAGCACCTCAATCTTTTCCTAGATAAGATGCGAAAGGGAGGGCCATTGTCGGTAACCCCATAGAGACAGTAGTGTCAATAGAGCTCCTACATTTAAAAGGAATAAAAATACCAGTACTAGCAGGCAAACATATTAGGTTTTTAGACTTTCTTTTGCCTTCTTTTCAAAAGCTTTTAAATACAAAAATTACTTTTCTTCAAAACTTAAAGTAAACTTCTGAAGATCTAATTTCCCAATAGTTTCCTCTGCATTTATATACTATGTAGTGTTTAGGCAATGCCTATGTTATAAGTTTATTAATATTATGTAAGTGTTGTTCTTGTATTTATGTATAGTGTATGTATTGTAAATATACTCAGAGCTTTTTTTCCTCTTACTGTAAAAAGGTGATTTTTGCCCTATGATAATGTAAAGGGAGTCCCCTAATGAAATTGTCAGAGGATGATTATTCCACTCTATTCTCAAAGATTTAAATGAACAAGTGTTATCGTTTTAAATGGTGTCTCAGACATATTTTGTTGGTGCATTGCTTTTCTGTATTCAACTTTCCTATGAATTGAGCTGTGAATTGAAATAGAGTTTAAACCTTTAAATGTATGCATTTGTACAATTATCTGAATGGAGGCATGAAGGTTAAATAAAGCATTTTGTATGGAACAAACACCCTAATTATTACTGTGGATGGCTCAAACCTTCTGGAATACCTAGATACTAACTTTTTTAAATTAAATCTTTGTTTTCTATAAACATATAGTGATTTTTTTTAATGGAATGTTTGCTTAAGAAATGGATTTTACTTGCTTTTCTGATTTTTTAAAAGCCACCATAGAGAGTAGACATTCTTTCTCCTTTCACAGAATTTGTGCATCTGTGGCAAAGCTGGAACAAATAAAATACCACTCAGCAGTATAAACCAAAATGTCTTGGGATGATATAAAACTATTTTGCATTACTATATAATCTGAATTCCCCAAGTACTTCAAAAGGGGAACTCTTTACTTCTGCCCCTCTCCTTTCCCTGTGTCTGGGGAGGCTGTTGCTGCTGATGTACAGCATCTGTAAGGTATTGGTGCAGCCAGGAGAAGGTTTGTTCACTGTGTGCCCCTGAAGTGAAGGAACAGCTGCTGGAGGAGGGCAGTGGCACCTGGAAATTGCAAGTTTGTACCTGGTTGAAGAGAGTTGGTATTTGCAATTCCTCCTAGGGACGCTCTGCAGCCTAGGTGGGCTTCTCCCTTGGGTCTGGCCCTTCCATAAAAGAGCTTACTTTATGTTTGAGCCCATCTAGGACAACTGGATATAAAATCAGAGGCTTGGAGCCGCACAGCACCTTTATTAGTGAAATTTCCCCTTAAAATTAATTTTCCCCTTCCCCTGAATTCCCATCGGCTTACTTTTAACCAATATGATCATTTATCTACTGAAAGCCACAGTGTTACATGGTTACAGGCAGAGAAACGAGTAAACAAAGTGATTTGGAGACCTTTGAGCCTTATTAAGAGATGTTTCTTAACCAAATCTGTGCTATAACAGATCTTCCATCTCTCAAACCAGTGATGAATTTAAAAATCAGTTGCATTGGCCCTGCCAAAGCACAAGCACTTCTTCTTTCCACACAATAAGTTGTTTGTTCTTCCTCAGTGTCCTGTGTGTTTAATTTCATTTTTTCTCCCAGGAGTGACATAAGTATAAAATACATCACTGCCTGTTTAGTCTGACCTCCTCAGTGAACGCCCACACCGTCCTCTGCCCTGACCCATGCTCTGTTCCTGAAAAGTTATTTCTTCCACTTGCACAAACAAATGCTCAATTGTCCTCTGATCCCTCCCCCTTTTTTTTCCCCTTTGTTATTGAACAGTCCACTTGGAATGAAAAGTTGGCACGTTATGTTAAGTACATCGTACGGTGCGCGTCTGGCTCTCCGTGAGCATGACAAGGAGTGGCTGCTGGTAACCACCTTCAGCTTTGCACATAGAGTTACTAGATCAGATAAGCACAGTTCTCTCTCTGCGTGCAGAAAAAAGTCACATCGGCATCATCCTTGAACCCAGGGAGATTGCTGCCTGCCAGATGGCGTTCTGGCCGTGCAGACTTTCACCCATGGATTGAGTGCAAGTCCTCATGTCCAGCATCTAACAGGGAAGCTCATCCATATGAGAGGTCTGTCTGACACATCTGCTCGCTGCACTGTGGGCTGGTGGCATGAGATTTTGGTTGGGAGAAAAGCATGTTGGTGGTCACCAAGTATTTGAGCTTTCCAAAGTGAAGCCAGCACTGTGGTCCAGGCTGCCACAGCTGTAACTGGTCTCTCCAGCAGTGCCTGCTATGCACACTGTGGAAACCTGTCCCTAAACAACCCTTACATCCTAGCAAACCAGGCAGAGTTAAACCCTTTAAATAGACAAAGAGCCAAAGACGTTTGAGTGAAGCTGGAGTGACTCAGTAGTTAAGCAAAAAATGCCAGAATCACAGAGCATTTGGGGTTGGCAGTGACCTCTGGAAGTCATGTGGTCCAAGCCCCCTGCTCAAGCAGGGACACCTAGAGCCAATTGCCAGGATGGTGTCCACATTGGCTTTTGAGAATCTGCAAGGATGAAGACTCCACAACCTTGCTAGGCAACCTGTGCCAGGGGTTAGCCACCCTTACACTGAGAAATTGTTTCCTGATACTCATAATAGCACCTGACCATTTGGAGTCCCTCCCTCTCACTTGGGCCATTAGGCAGAACAGGCTCTCTGGTTCAGGTTTTGACCCAGTCTGTAACTGACTATGGTTTTTATACCCATGGGTATTTTCTGTGAGAGGCCCCAAATAGCAGCAGTAGCCATACCCTTCCTGTTGAAGCGTACTCACAAAGGCATTTACTACCTCACATATTTGTCTTACCAAAAATATATAGCCCATAATAACCAGACCTGCCCCTTAAAAAGGAATGAATAACCAGATTTAGCCAGTAAGCTGAAACACGTCAATACATTTTATCCTTTATGTTTTCATTTGTATCTTTGCACAACCTTGCTCACAGGTGCACTGTGCCCTTTCCTGGTTATCTTTCTCATTTGCTGGGGATATTGATCTATAAAACCTCCTTGTAAAATATTTCAAATAAATTCTTTGTTTTTTCTGGGGTGACTTTTCTACACCTGTATTTTTTGGGCCTGTGCAGAATATTAACAGACAGAAACTAACAATAAAGTCCAGAAACTACTGCAAAAGCAAACAGTGAAACCAAGACACTTGCAAAGCGCTATAAATCTCTGCTGAGCTCGGGTTGCTGTTTAATCTTTATATACAGGTACGTCTCAAGGTTATCTGCTCCTGAGGAGTTCTCTGGAGGCTTTTGTGATTTGTCATCCGCTCAGCTTCTTATCAGTCACAGGTATTTCCCCTTGTAACATTTATTGTGGGCTCCCCTCTGTGTTTCTTTAAAATGCAATGCCCTGAAGAGGCTCTGGTATGCAGTTTTTAAGGAGTCACTAAATCTCCTTTTCCCATGATCGACTGGATCATAAATGTGGCACATGTGGCATAGCAGGTGCAGCAGCACTGGTGACTGAGCACCCTCACTGGGACTGGATGCAAACACAGAAGCTCTGGAAAGGAGTTTTCCATCTCCATCTTGCGGTCTCTGGCTGGAAAAGTACAGTTCAATACATTCATTGAATATGTTATGTATGTAGAAGAGAATCTACTGCGAATTGCATTAATAACAGTTGTGGCAGCTTAGCTAAGACACTGTGTCTAATTTTTAGGGGGAAAAAAATCTCAGTCTTTTCCACCAGGATGATCATGGCCATCCTGCTGTGCCATTCCATTTCAGCAGAGGCAAATCCATCCCTGACTGCTGCAACAACGTGTCACCATTTCTGAGGGCCTGGCAGACGTGGGAGAGGGACAGTGAAATTCCTTCATCAGCAAGATGACAGGGAGCCTCTCTGTTCATGGCCAAGGTTTGGACAGCAGAGGATTTGCTGGGAAATTGGTTCTACTTCTGTGTCCACAGCCTCATGGAAATGTGCTGCTGAAAGAGAGGGCTAGCTTATATGGGAAGTAGGATGCGACTGTTCCCCAGATATTGCTTTACCCAGCAGATAAAGCTGCTTTAATTCCTCGTTTATCCTTAAATACCTGCTTTGTCTACACCGACATCTGAGTTCTGACTGCTAGCACGTATAAGCATGCAAGTACATGCATGTATCTGCTTAGTACATATATATGTGTATTTATACACGCACACATGCGTGCACTGTATGCATGCATGGAGGTGTGCACTGACTAGCTCTTTCTAAAGGTAGCTGGGGCACCAGAAGCACTACTGGGAATATATTTAGGAGCCAGGTGTTCACATAGTAGCAGAGTAGCAGTTTTAAAGCCCTTCACTTTGAGATGTTAGAGCCAAAATGGGTGCCACATCCCTAGAAATGTCACAGGCCCTGTTGGATGGGGCTTTGGAGTGGAAGGTGCCCCTGCCCATGGCAAGGCAATTGGAATGAGATGATCTTTAAAGTGCTTTCCAGCCCAAACCATTTTATGATTTGGTAAAAGGTCAGGGGAGGAGATGAATGACCAGACTCCTTCTATGCCTGTCCCTCTCACCTGAGCTGGTGCTTTAAGGAGTGCTCTAAAGCCCCAGTGCCCCCATACCTGGCCTGTTCTCATCTTCCCCTCGGGCAGCAGGTGTTCACCCCAAGCCTGGACTCCAAAGAGCATCCCATAGGAGACAGTGTGACCTCCCCCATGACAGAGGGGTCCAAGGTCACCTGGGCAGCCTGGGGTCCTGCACACCATCACCTCAGCAGCCAGGTGTGCACAGAGGCAGAGCCCAGGGGACAACAGGGACATGAAAGCAGAGGTTTAGCCTCAGTTATGCTGGGGGGTTTTTCTCACATCCAGGCTGGTGGATGGGTCTGTAGTCAAGGGATGTGAGCAGGAAATGAGAGCTGCTCCTTTGGTGCCCATCTCTCATTCAGCAAACAGGGGTCTGGTACTTCACTGCTTCCAGTGGGAAGGAGCTTCATGGAAATTGAAAACCCTGAATTAGCGGAGACGAAATTGATCTCCATCTGCAAAATTTGTAACATGGCTGTTTCAGTCTGCTGGTGAAGTATGCAATCTGTTTCGGAGGCGTTTTGTAGAAAATTAGAAAAAGCTGGTAAAGGGTTTCTGCAGAGCTTTTTTGGTTCTGATTATTCATTTATTTACAAACGATCATTTAGACCATCTGTAGGTTTTCAGTGTAACTGAGAGAAAACTCTGAGCTCCCCAGGACTTTACAAGTGTGCCAAGAAGGCAAGACTGCAAAGGCTTTTGGAGCTAATAAAACAAAGACAGAAAAGCTGCTTGTTGTGATGAGGTGTGGGGGGGAGGAGAACACAGGGCTGGGGCCTTTTTCCTTCCCCAGCCTTGCTTTGTTTCCCATTTTGTTTGACATTTGTAATCAAAGCTTCAGCACCTTTGCTTTAGTTATAATAACTTTACTGGAGTTATTACATGAGCCTCCGCAGATGTACACACAGCCCAAGTTTTTAGCCTCCAGCACTGACCACTCCCCAGACAAGATGCTTGTTCCTGTACCACAGTACGTGTGATTCTGCAAGTTTCATTTATCACAAGGCAGCAGTACAGACACAAGAAAAGTACAGCAGGAGCCAGGGGCTCAAGAT